TAAAATGTAAATTTTCAAAATTTAGCACAAGGTTAGTTTCAATGCACCTATGTAACATCTTAGGCAAACTCTATAAACATAAATCAAATGAAGATTAAAGTTTAAGCTCTAAGGATAAAGGTTGGAAATGGAGGCTCTTCTACTGATTGAACATCCACTGTTGCAACTACATCTGCTAGTGAAACATATGATATTATGGCATCTTTTTTACCTGCAATAACAATACTAATCTTTGCACATATAGCACACATAATAGAATCATCACAAGTACAATCAGAGTCAACAATGATAAACTTAATTACAATGTCAAAAATGTCAATTTCATGTTCAGGTACAAGGTCAACAATCTCACACATAGATGAATTAATACCAAATGAATCAATATTATACAACTAAGATCAAGAATGTCAATCCTCAAGGCAGACATAGATGGATGTGTTAACCGTAGTTGGTTGACATTAGTAGTTAACTGATCAATTTATGTTTGCAAATCTTGAGTTGCAATATTTCACTCTTGTTGAAACTTGTTATTGCATTCATCCATCTATTTCATCATTTCCTCTAATGTAACAACACTATTTTATATAGGTAGTGGCTAAACATAATCTTCAATAAGACCCTAATGATGACCTATCCACTCGGAACTATACTTCTCAAAATATGAATCATGATAATATTGTTGTGGAGGTTCATATTGTTGACTAAAGTATGGATCAAAATATTGTTGTTGTGGAAGATCATAATAAGTTTCAACAGTATTACCATGAATGATTAATTCTTGGACTAAGGAGGTCAATTCAGTCAAAACATAATCCATAAGTATCTAACAATAGTAAGAAGTATAAAATTACTATTCAAAATAGAAACAAGACTCACAATGCTAAACAAAGTAAAGTGATGAAAGTCAACAAAAAAGTAAAAAGTCAACTATAAAGTTAAAATTAGGGGTGAGCAACGGGTGGGTTTGGTCGGGTTCGGGTGAAAAATGTCCAACCCGTTGTAAACCGACTTTGAAAAAATGTGACCCATATCCGACCGACTGAGCTTTCGATTTGAGGCGGTTCGGGTTGAAACGGATTCGGATTTAAGCGGGTGGGTATAATCGGGTTTGAATTTTTTTGTAGACCAATTTATCTTAACGAAGATGAAGCTTAAAACGATAAAAAATATTTTTAAAATAGTGTATAAAAATAGAATGAAGGTGACAATAGATGGTGTAAATAGATTCGTAGTTGAAACATTTACAAACTAAAGAAGCAAAAATAAAAGATAACAAAATTCATAGTTGTTACATGGAAAAGAAATATAAAGTTAGATTACAAAACCATAAGAAATCACAGTCACACAAAATGTACTCAAAATGGAGATAAGAAGATGGAAAAGAAAGACAAAGAAAGAAGCAAAAAGATAACACTAAAAATGGACTAGTGTGTTGAGAAGTTGAATGAGGAAGGAGAAGACAAAATAAATATCTAAGTTATGAGAAAAAGTAAAAAAATAAGCAAAAGTAATAAAAATTTAAACTTATCTCATTTTCGGTTGGGTTCGATTTTTAGCGGGTTTAAAAATTCAAAACCGAACCCGCCCAATATAACCCGTATAAAATCAAAATTTTAACCCGATTTACCCATAAGACCCGCCCGAACCCACCCAAAAGCAATATTTTTTTTTCGGGTTTTTCGGGTTCGGTTCGGGTGTCGGTTTAATGCTCACCCCTAGTTAATATATAACAAAGAAAACCTGTAACATGCAAAATACTATCAAATGAATTTTAAAAAATACAAGAGTACTAGAAACTCATTTAACATCAAATTTTCTATTTTTTGTAATTTTTTTGGTGATTTTTAAAAATATCAAAAAATAGTAAAAAAATGAAAAAGTGGTTTAAATGATGGAATTGACAATTTTATGTACATTTTACTCCCATCGGAAGTAAGTTAGCTCAAAATAATGATTTACCTTTGGAGAAAAAGTTTCAACCAAAAGTGAAAACCCCAAAAAGTGCCTATGAGCAAATATTACACAAAATCACAAAACTCAACAAAAATGGTTAAAATCAAGGTTAGTATATACAAAAGCAATTTACAAATAGTTAGTAGGCATGATAAAATCAAGACACAATGACTTGTGTCCCCGACAACGGTGCTATTTTGATAGCGTTGTCGAGTCATTATTAAAAGTAAACTAGAATTTCTCCAAAGATTTGTAATACAAGGAACAACCTAGGTTATTCTTCTCGAAGACATAAGTCAATTGGATCCAAAATTATCATACAATTAGAAAGGGGGTTCTTATGAATAAGAAAGAGAATTTAGAATATTACAAACACAAATAAAAAAATTCAATTAGAAATTACATCGATTCAAGATTTCAATCATTACGGTAAAATTTTCATGGTTCAAATTATAATCGGAATTTAATCAACCTAAATCAACAAGAACATAATCTAAATATATATATAAATCTAGATCTATTGAATTTCATAAAAACATGAAACACAATCATGATCTCACAATTTCCTTGAAATTCAAAAACGGTGAACGGTTGAGTTAGACGATTTAGATTATTTTAAGTCAAAATCTAAATCTAGATCTACATCCAAAATTAATCTTCAAATCTAATCCAGATCCATTAAAACAAAATTCATAGTCATGAAGAATGGAAAATGGATATAGAATCGAGAAGAAGATGAAGATAATTTGTACGGTAAAAATAGATCGGAAACTTGAATTTTACCATAATTCATGAAATCTCAAATCAAATAAACGGATTAGCCACAGATCTTCATCAAGACGCTACAATTCTTTTGTGTAGAAAAATGTAAAGAAAAAATTTCGTGAAAGACAAGAGAGGGAGGAGAAAATTTAGAGAAACTTATAGAGAAAATAACTCTAAAATATGAAAAATGAGTGTAAAGTATATATAACAAGCTCACAACACCTATTAGTAGAGAAATAGTGGGCCTAATCAGAATATTTACAAGGCCCGACCCCACTAAATCAACTAATTACAACATTAAACAAATCCTAATATTATATTCTAAAAATAAAAAGAAAATACTATGGAGGACCATAACTTTGCAATGCAATTTTGGATCATTTAACGTCCAAACTAGCCTTTTCTTCCAATAGAGAAGTTGTAGAAATCTCTCTTATCTTTCCAAGGACACTATAAATGTCTAAATCCAGTGTTGGGAGCTTTAGATATGTTTTGCACAAGAAACAATGTCAAAACATGAAAAAATTATGAAAAATAACTAAAATTGACAACTAAGACCAAAATGACTTATTAGAATAAATCAAAACTAATATATTACAATATGATACTAATAAAAGTCAAATAAACCAAAAAAAATTAATAATCTTAATGGATAGATCAACTTTATAAATTTTTTAAAAATTTGAAAACTATGTGATACTTCATTTTATAAATTTAAATTGACGAATAACTTTCTAAAAGTATTTATCCATCAATTTAAATCAATAAAACAAAGTATCAAATAATTTTCACATTTTAAAAAAAATTTATAGACTTGATCTATGCATTAAGAATTTTTAATTTAAAAGTTTAATCATTAAAATTTGATGTAGAACATGAATTACTGAGTAAAGTAAGTTTAAAGAAACTTACTCTTGTAGTAAGTGAATCAATCCTTCCTCGTGAATAACCAAATTTATTTGGTTGTTATTTCTAAGAAGAGATAAAGCCTCCATAAATTAAAAATAATAAAAAAAAAGAAAATAAATGAAGATAATATGAGGACTTAGTCTTCAAAAGACAAAGTAGTTAAGGAGAACTTGAAAAAAAAATCAAGTTATTGGATAAAATGTATTTAACTAAAAAGAAGAAAGTCAATATAGTGGAGAGATGGTTACAAACAAACCCTCTTATAAAATGAGTATGAGATAAATCAGAAAAACACATACATAAAATAGAAACTCTCTTGGAAACAAACCCTTTTTAATCATGATTTTATATAACATATATAATTATTTTTTAATTTTTGAAATTTATGATTTTTAGTTTTTAATCATGATTATATATATGTTTGAGTTATAATATTTTATTAAAAATATTTTTTTTATAAGCTAAAAATTAGGTAAATGGTCACTAGTAATTTTTTTTTATTATTCTTAATATTATTGTGATGCATAATGTCATTTTTAAAAATTATATGATTATTTTTTTTTCATATTTTATTTGACTTAAATGTGTTTTTAATTTTTGTAAAATTAAGGAATATTGATGTTGATTCTTGATTTTTTTTTATATCATCCTTCTAACGTTTATAAACATTGTTTTTGATCTTCGTAAAATAAATAAATTTTGATATGATCATTGTAAAATATTTTTATTTAACTTTTATCATTTTAAAACTTAAAATTACTATTTTTGCTCCTAATGGTTATTTTAAGTAGATGAATAATAGTTATTTGAATAATCTGTACAAATTTTTAGAGATGTGAAATATTAACATAAAATAACTAATAATCATATGTAACATCTATAATATTTATTTAATCTTTTAATAAACATATATACCAAAAAAATAGTTTCAATTTTAGAGGAGTGAAAAACAACTAAAAAAATTTTCATGAACTAAAAGAAAAATCAACTAATTTTGTAGAGATTGAAAAACATTTTAATTTTTTTATTATTTTATTTTCAGTTAAAATTTAATTTATATTTTTAAGTTTTTAAAATAAAATAACATTTATAAATATTTAAATATAATATTTCCAAATATTTTAAATTTGTTTAAATATTTGCTAAGATGAATATCCAAAATGCAACTATTAAATTTTAAACACTTATAAAATAAATTTTTATAACATTAAAATTTATTAAATAAGATTTTAAATTAATTATTTATTCAAACGCATCAATTGTATATAACTATTATTATAGATTATAGATTAATTACTTTAATTTTAACCTACAATCACAAAAAAAAATTCAAAATATGGATTTTATTATTTGAAGAAGTTATAGAATTGGGGATTAGATTACAGGTACCAAAACGTGCATCGGTGCAGTTTGGCTTTGACATAACCCCTTTCTTTGCGACGCAAACGCAATAAGCAGCGCTTTGATTTGAGCCTCAGCGAAAAAAAGGAAGTAAGCAACACTCATTTTATTTTAGTCTTCAAATATCGTTCATTTGCTTGCACTACTTCAACCACCAAATTCGATCAACTTAATTGCTACATTTTCATAGTTGCAAAATATCTCTATTTGATTCTTTGTTAATGTGATCTGATTCTGCTTCCAAATACAAGAAACCCATCTGTTATTTATTGTTTTCTTCACTCGTTTTCTGTTTATTTTGCTAACTGCCACGAGATACTGGTGTTTATCACGACATCTGATTTTTTCAGTATGATTGGTTTTGCCCACAAACTGTTTGATGTATGTTCTAAACAAGGAGGACCACAAATTGTGATTCACAGGGTCCATTATTCAATTTTATTATTGAAATGTTCACAACAAATTCTTTTGACATACCCACTTGCTTTCGTTCTCAGTAGTTTATTAGACCACATACATGACAAAATATATGCCTAGAATTTCTTATAGGCTAAGTTCTATAATGTATATTCATTGTAGCATATAGAGTTAATATTAACATATCAAATTTGTCATCATTATTTTCACTGTTCAGATGTTGAGGGAATTCACCTAAAATATGAATTATCGCAGCTTCCCTTTAGCACAGTAAGTCAAGTTGTTTTGAACTAGTTACATCATTTGTAAAATATTTTTTTAGATGCAACAATTTGTGTAAGTTCATGTTATCATACATAAATATGGGATAAACTTATTTTCTGCATGCCTTCTGCGATTCTCCAATGAATAAAATAGCTGTAGCATAAACTTGAATTAATGTTTTGCATCTGATTGATATTGACTGTTATTTGAATTAGGAACTCTACCAAACCCTGAGATTGATCCTAGTTTTAACTTTTTTTTTCCTCTGCACCTATTTCTCCTTCCCCATACAAGGAGTGAAGAAAAATCCCTGAAACCCACGTGTTCCAGTGGCACTGCCTTTCAAATTTGCGACCTTCTCAGTCAACTATCTCATTTCAAACGTAAGTTCAAGGCTGCTTTTCTTATCTGCGTTTTATTATGTGTTTTTATTCCCCATTTTCCGTTTGGTAAACAAGAAAATTGAACCAATGAGCAATTCTTTTTTTTTTTTTTTAATAATTTGAGGTTAATACAACTAAAATTTGGTAGTTTACAAAAATAGGAGAAGAAAACAATGGCATTAGTTTGGGAAGAGTAGAATCCGGTAGAAAGGAAATTGGAGCCTAAAAATAAGGGGAAGGCAAGGGGGTGAAAAGGGTTTAAGTAGAAAGGAGTAAGTTTTGGAATGATCAAAGGAATTCGGTTAAGATGATTATTATTATTATTATTATTATTATTATTATTATTATTTATTTTTGTGAGGGTTAAGATTAAGAATAAATAAACATTGTGATTTGTTCGCATTTTTCTCAACAGTGCAGTAACACACGCTGCACATGAACACAGGCAACACAACATGCTTCTGTCCTCAATACTCGGAGCTTTCACTAGGCGAGTGGGTTCCATAAGAACCCTCTCTTCACAAACAGAAATGAAAGACTTTCTGGATTATATCAATTCCCTAAAAAATTATGAGAAATCAGGAGTTCCCAGAGGTGCAGGCACCGATTCGGACCAGGGTTTCGATCTCGCTAGAATGAAACGCCTCATGGAGCGTTTTGGTAATCCTCACTGCAGCTTCAAGGTTTCATTCCTCTCAATCTCTCTTTTTATGCGATAAACTTCTTTAGAAACACTTTTAGATGAAAAATATGCAAAGTAGTTTTAGAAGAAAAAAAATAAGGAGAAAAAATGAACTAAGTTTCTCTTTAGACTAAAATTTGCTTATGATATGCTAATTTGTAGTAGCTCTCTCTTATTAGTTTCTCCATAATTTTATTTTTAATTTATGCATAAGTTGATCTTATGAAGAATATCTCATTTTTTTCTCTTAGAAATGTTTTAAGAAGAGTTTACCCAAACATACCTAAAGTTTATGTTTTAATCTTTCACCAATGTTTTGAAGAGGTAATCCATGAAGTTAAAATGGGCATTTTATGTCGAAGGTTTTTGTACTTTCGCTCAATTTTTAGACAGTTGATGCAAGTGCTCACTCCAATCATAGGCGGTCCATATTGCTGGAACTAAAGGAAAAGGATCAACAGCTGCATTTATATATAATATTCTGAGGACTGAAGGTTATTCTGTTGGTTGTTACACTAGGTGAAGCTTCTTTATCATTTAAACATGTTTTGTTTTTTATAAACTGTGCCTGCTTGCAATTTCAACTCCAACTATATCTTTTCTTTACAATTTTGTAGATATTGACACCAGGCTTTGTTTTTCTCAAGCAGTCCACATATCCTGACCATCAGGGAGCGCATTTTACTAGGAAGATCAGGCCACCCGGTGTCGGCGAAATTGTTGAATGATCTCTTTCATAGGATCAAGCCGGATCTTGACCAAGCAATGAAAGAGGAAAATGGTTGCATAAGCCATTTTGAGGTATTGAATGTTGAACTGAGCCTCATCAATGTTGTCAAGAAGTTGTGGTAACTTATGGAGTTATGTTGATGGGGTTCAGTGGGTCCATTTGATGGCTTTGGAGCTAGAATTTGTGCTATTTGCTACTGTTGCATTTCTTCCTTTTTATTACACTAAAATGTGTTGAAGTTAATGTTTCATTAATCGGATATTTCTGCTTACACTTTCATAGTCATAGTATTCTATTAAAATTCAGGTGGTATGTTTTTTATTGCTTATTGGTTTACCCTGTTTCAATATGGGTATTTGATATGTTAGAAATCATGCATATTGCCAACTTTTATATTTGATTACTTAAATTACTTGTGAAAATGTTACAGGTTTTCACTACGATGGCATTCCTCCTATTTGCTGATGAGAACGTTGACATTGCTGTTATTGAGGTTAGTTATCTATTTCCCTACGTTATTGGGTGATTCTTCTGATTATATTATTGTTACCTCTCTTCACCAAAAGAATCTTGAGTTGATACTCACGTTTAGGCAGGGCTTGGTAAGGTTGGTGCTTGTTAATGTTGGCCTTTTCTTTTAAAATTAAATCCAGAAAACCTAAATTATGATATTTCTTTTAATTAAATTCTACAGGCTGGGTTAGGGGGTGCACGCGATGCAACAAATATTATATCCAGCTCTGGACTTGCTGCATCAGTGATAACCACTGTAGGTGAGGAACATTTGGAAGCTCTTGGGGGTTCTCTGGAAACAATTGCAATGGCAAAGGCAGGAATTATAAAACAAGGCTGCCCAGTTAGGTGTTTCTCTCTTTAGATCATTTGCATATGAGTGTGACATACTGAAATAGACGAACCAATATCTTGGGGACATGAGTACATTTTATAAATGAAAAAAATTGATAGGAAATGAGTGAAAAGAAAAACTCTGGCTTATTATTCCTTAAAATTATAAAATCCTTTTCTAAAGTTATCTTCTGTCATAATTTCTTGATGTAGGCATTTAAAATTTTCCTCATGCTATTACTACTATTATCTCATATATATCGAGAAGTAATTTTTGAGTCAACAAATAATTATTAGACAAAATGCAGAAAACACAAAAATACAGAAATCAGAAATGTGAGAAAATAGGATGTCACACATGACAAGATATAGTGTTAACTGCATTGATACTATCTTGTCTTAAAGCCAATATTCAACGTTAATAGAAAAGCCAAATTGCATTTAAATCAGTGATCACATAACCTCCATTTTTAGAAACTATCCACGTTTTCCTTGTATAAACTAGCATTTTGTTATTTAAACAGGCGGCCTGCCAAATAATGTTTAATGTTAATTATTGTTTTTGTTTGCTGTTAATCCTGAGTCCATTAACATTTTCTAAAGGGTTTATTTACACAATTGTCTTACACCTATACAATCTTTATGGTTTAGTCCTACACCTAGAAATCACTTTAGTCCTTATATATAATTTTTAATGTATTTTAGTCCCTATAATTTTGGATGATGGGGACTCAAACGGATTGAAAAGTATTATAGGGATTAAATTAAAACGAGTCAATTTTAGGTGTAGGGACTAAAACATAAAGATTGTGCAAGTATACACATCAAATGAGTAATTAAACCTTTTCTTAGACTAATATACTCTACAATGTTAGCTGAAGTGTGAAAATGACAGCTATAGAATTTTCCTTTCTTTTGTGATGAAGTCAAATATTTATTCTATTGTTTATCTTTGTGGTGTATGTACATATTTTGAAATTTCATTCATCAAACCCTAAAAAAATTCTTTTTATTTTGTTGGGTTTGGGTGCATAACTTTGTCCTTTAAAATGTCATTACTTTAAGATATACTCCATTGTTTCCTTTATCTTTTGTTGACTAAATCAAATACATTTCAGTTGGTGTTGGGTGGACCATTTGTCCCTCATATAGAGCGCATTATTCGAGATAAAGCTGTAACCATGGATTCACCGGTAGTGTCTGCATATGATTCTGGGAATAGGTGTACTGTAAAAAGTTTCAGCATACTCAATGGAAGACCCTGTCAAATTTGTGATATAGCAATACAAGTTGGGAAAGACTTGAAAATGGTATGAACGCTTGTTCTTTAGCTTTTAGTGTTTCTTTAAACAATGCAGTGCATGGAGCATATCTCAGGTGGCTGCTTTAGATGGACGGTGGGCATTGATTGCTTAGGGTGCATCTTATAGACATGGTGTGCAATGTGAGTTAGCATCCTTTAAATCTTTCACAAGCAGAGTGTGAAGGTAACATGTTGATATGGTTTAGCATAACACCTTGCATCGGAATAATGGTTGACAGAATTTGATTATCTATTTAAAAATAGGTAGTCTAAAAGTATAACCTAATTTAGGGCCAATTTGGATAAATTTTTACTTAGTACTAATGGGAGAAGAAAATAAAAAGAAAAAATGAAATACGTTTTTCTAAAAACTATAATTAGCTTATGCACAAGCTAATTTTTAACTTATGGAGAAGTTAATGTTAGCTTATGAACAAGTTTATTTCATTTTTCTTCCTTATTTTCTCTTTCTAGAAGCGTTTATAGAGAAGTTCATCCAAACAGACCCTTAAAAATTTTTGATTTGGAACTTCAATCATAGGACTGTGTTTGATGGTCTCTCACATCTCATGCTGTATAAAAACATCTGAATGTTTAAAGAATTTGTGCACCCATTTCTCCACTACTTTAGTATGTTATTTTAGCAGGGTTTCTGTCTACTTTTTTGTCATATTGATCATGGAAAAGTTTTATGAGCAACTTATTAGTTATTATTATATCTATTCATGTAGTCCTGCGAGTTACTTGATGTGAAGCTGCTAATGCTTGGAGATCACCAACTTCAAAATGCAACTACTGCTACTTGTGTGGCACTTTGTCTTCGTAATTTAGGTACAACTTTTTTACCTTCTGCTTGGTCTCACATTACTTGTGTTCTTTTTATAATTAAAATGAATATATTCCTGCTCTAGTTCAGAGTTACTTGAGATTCAGATTGTTAGTCAAGTAGCCTAGTATAACTTAAGAGGGGGTGAATTAAGTTATCCAATTTTTACTCTTTTATGAGTTTTTAGTAAAGCTTTCTTATAAATTCTTCTTCTTAGACAAATTGTATATAAAGATTAATGATGCAAAACTACTCAAACACAATTAAATAACAAGTAATTAAAAGTGTAGGAAAAGAAGAATTGCAAACTTGTTTTATATTGGTTCGGCCAATCTTGCCTACGTCCAGTCCTCAAGTCTCCAACTTGAAAAGTAATTAAAAGGGGAGGGAAAGAAGAATCGCAAACTTGTTTTATACTGGTTTGGTCAATCTTGCCTACGTCTAGTCCTCAAGTCTCCAACTTGAGATTTCCACTATTTTTGTAATTCTTACAAGACTTAAATCCTTCAACACCTTGGAACACCCTTTCCTTGTTTTGAGATTCAAAATCTAACAAGGAGAAACTCTTTCTCCTTTACAGATCAAATGATCAAGTGGGTATATCAGAGTAACTCTCTTTGAAGAGTAGATTTTACACTTTGATGATCTTAATGAACTCTTTAGATAATGATGCAAATGAACTTGGCCAAGAAGTTTTGTAAATATGTTTTTCACAATAGAGTTCGTTACCTTCTTCTGAAAAATTATAGGTATTTATAGACAATTATTTCTTAGATTGTGTCTTTTTATGAAGAGTTGTAACTCTTTATAATTTTTCAGAAAAGATACTCTGGTAATCGATTACAAGGAATTGGTAATCGATTACAACGGTTTTAAGTTCAAAAATAATTTGAAATGTTGTATCTTTTAAATTCAAATTTTGAAGTTCCCTTCTTCTGGTAATCGATTACCAGAACACGTTTTTAGCATTTGAATTTTGAACCAAGAGTTTTCTTCTTCTGGTAATCGATTACTTAAACTAGTAATCGATTACCAGACAGATATTAATAGTTTTGCTTTTTGAAAACTTATGAATTTAGAAGCTTTTTCTTACCAGTGAAAATAATTTTTGTATAGTCTTTTTGAACATTTTACTTTTTACTTTTTTTTTCAAAAAAACATTCTTTTATTCAAAAAGACTAAATTTAAGTATTTCTTGAAATCCTTATTTTAATGGCCAAGTAAAATTTGCAATTTCTAAAAGTTCCTTTTACGTATTAAGCTAAGTTGACAAGACTTATCTAGTTAATTCTTGAGATCTTGTTTCTTGATCAACTTGCTTTAACTTAACCTTTTATTTTCTACAATGCTTTGGCATCATCAAAACTTTATGCATATGTTCTTCCACATTCTCCCCCTTTTTGATGATGACAATTTACTGTAAAGGGAAAGAAAATAAAATAGTATATTTCGATCACTCCCCCTTAATCTCCCCCTTAGTAAAAAGATTTGTATTTAAATAGAAATTTGTAGTGATCAAGTTATATTGTTCTAAACATAAAAGCCAATTTTTGATCATAAAAACCAAGGAAAAAAATGGTATTATTTATTAAAAAAAATGGTTGTTTCTTTTCCCTTGTTCTTCTTTTCCATTTCTCTCCCCCTTTAGCAATCATCAAAAAGAATAATGCAACATATATAGCGAAAGAGATTACAATCATGAGTAGAAACTGAAGTAAAAACATAAATATCCCAAAACATAAGTATGTAGAGTCAAACTGAAGTAAAATTGCAAATCCTAGAACACAACCAATTAAAAACATGGAAATAAGCAAATTAAAAAACCAAAATTTCAGAATATAATTCAAAGTAACCCTAAGCAAAAGATAAACTAAATGAAACCATCAGAACCAATGTCAGCCAGCTACTCGGAAGGTCGGCGAAGAGACTTGACTTCATCCTCAAGACGAGTCATGTGAATATCTAGGGAATCAAACCGTTCGCCAACAAAGAAACGAAGATCTCTAATCTCATTTAGAACATCAGTGAGGAGTGCCGAGGAAGGATCCTGAGGTGGTGGTGAAGGAGTTCGATCATTAGGATCAACAACTTGAAAATCTCGCTTCCGTACCCATGTGTTTTCCAATGTTTTCTTATATCCAAAAGAAACAACTACAGTGGCCCCAATCTCAAAGGATCGCTTAATTGGAACCCATGCTTCATTATCCCGAGGAACATTAAAATGTTCCAGAATAGTAGTGATAAAGTGTGGATAAGGAAGAGGAGCATTTGCCCGCAAGGCCTTGTTCATACGATTCCTAATCAAATGAGCCTAGCTAAATTCTCGACTAGTTATTAGAGCCCAAATCAAGATTAAGTCTTCTTCAGTTGCCTATGCAAGGTTAGTGATACGACGAACAATTATATAGTGCATGATGCGATAATCAAATTTTATGGAACCAGCCAGTAAACGTCCAGACATATCAACATCATCCACACAAATTATTCCACGGGCATTAGGATGGGAATAATCTTCTTTCCATTCATCAGTAATTGTTCCCTCAAACAGTGTTCCCTGATTACTTAATTTTGATAAATCAAAGAAAAGAGACTGATTTATCTCAATTGGGATTTTCTTAACCTCACTGTAAATAATCCCATTCCGGATTTCTAAATTAGTATAAAAGACTCTTACTAAGTCGGGATAAACAGGGTTCTTCAGAGACATGAAATCCACTATTGTAGAATTTTTGAAAATTGTATAACATTCAAATGACTCATCCTCAAAGAAATTAATGCTTAAATATTTTGGATCAACAATATTGCGTTCGGAAAATAATTGGAAGTACCTATCCCGTTGTTTATCCGTGGAGAACAGAGTGAGAGCGCGTCCAGAGTAAGGAAACGGATTTGGTGGACGCGCTCTTACTCTGTTCTCCACGGATGAACAGCGGGATAGGTACTTCCAATTATTTTTCAAACGCAATATTGTTGATCCAGAATATCTACGCATTAATTTCTTTGAGGATGAGTCGTTTGAATGTTATACAATTTTCAAAAACTCTGGAGTACTGGATTTCATGTCTCTGAAGAACCCTGTTTATCCCGACTTAGTAAGAGTCTTTTATAGTAATTTAGAAATCCGGAATGGGGTTATTTACATTGAGGTTAAGAAAATCCCAATTCAGATAAATCAGTCTCTTTTCTTTGATTTATCAAAATTAAGTAATCAGGGAACACTGTTTGAGGGAACAATTACTGATGAATGGAAAGAAGATTATTCCCATCCTAATGCCCATAGAATGATTTGTGTGGATGATGCTGAGATGTTTGGACGTTTACTGGCTGGTTCCATAAAATTTGATTATCGCATCATGCACTATATATAATTATTCGGGTGTTGCTTCCTCGTACCACTAACCTTGCACAGGCAATTGAAGAAGACTTAATCTTGATTTGGGCTCTAATAACTAGTCGGGAATTTAGCTGGGCTCATTTGATTAGGAATCGTATGAACAAGGCCTTGCGGGCAAATGCTCCTCTTCCTTATCCACATTTTATCACTACTATTCCGGAACATTTTAATGTTCCTCTGGATAATGAAGCATGGGTTCCAATTAAGCGATCCTTTGAGATTGGGGCCACTGTAGTTGCTTCTTTTGGATATAAGAAGACAATGGACAACACATGGGTACAGAAGCGAGATTTTCAAGCTATTGATCCTGATGATCAAACTCCTTCACCACCACCTCAGGATCCCTCCTCAGCACTCCTCTCTGATGTTCTAAATGAGATAAGAGATCTTCGTTTCTTTGTTGGTGAACGGTTTGATTCCCTAGATTCTCGCATGACTCGTCTTGAGGATGAAGTCAAGTCTCTTCGTTGACCTTCCGAGTAGCTGACTGACATTGGTTCTAATGGTTTCATTTAGTTTATCCTTTGCTTTGGGTTACTTTGATTTATATTCTGAACTTCTAGTTTTTAATTTACTTATTTCCATATTTTTAATTGGTTATGATCTAGGATTTGCAATTTTACTTCAGTATTAACTATACAAACTTATGTTTTGGGATATATATGTTTTTACTTCAGTTTCTACTCATGATAGTTATCTCTTTCGATATTTATGTTGCATTATTCTTTTTGATGTTGCCAAAGAGGGAGAGAAATCGAAAAACAAGGGAAAAGAAACAACCATTTCTTAAGATAACTTGAGAACAATATAACTTGGCTTTTATGATCAAAAATTGGCTTTTATGTTTAGAACAATATAACTTGATCACTATAAATTTCTATTTAAATAAAAATCCTTTTATAAAATAAAAAATAACATCAAACAATGATTTACTAAGGGGGAGACTAAGGGGGGGGGGAGTGATCGAAATATACTGTTTTATTTTCTTTCCCTTTACAGTAAATTTTCATCATCAAAAAGGGGGAGAATGTGGAAGAACATATACACAAAGTTTTGATGATGCCAAAACATTGTAGAAAATAAAAGGTCAAGTTAAAGCAAGTTGATCAAGAAGCAAGATCTCAAGAATTAACTAGATAAGTCTTGACAACTTAGCATAATATGTAAAATGAACTTTTAGACATTGCAAAGTTCACTTGGCCATTAAAATAAGGATTTCAAGAAAACCTAAATTTAGTCTTTTTGAATATAAGAATAAGTTTTTGAAAAAGAGTAAAAAGAGTGTTCAAAAAGATTATACAAAAATATTTTTGACTGGAAAATAAAAGCTGCTAATATCATAAGTTTTCGTAAGCAAATTTTGTAATATCTACCTGGTAATCGATTACCAGTTTAAGTAATCGATTACCAGAAGAAGAAAACTTCTTGGTTCAAATTCAAATGCTAAAAACGTGTTCAGGTAATCGATTACCAGAAGAAAGGAACTTCAAAATTTGAATTTAAAAGATACAATGTTTCAAATTATTTTTGAACTTAAAACCGTTGTAATCGATTACCGGTAATCGATTACCCATAGTATCATTTCTGAAAGATTGTAAAGAGTTACAACTCTTTATAAAAGGACATAACCTAAGAAATAATTGTCTATAAATACCTATAATTTTTCAGAAGAAGAAAACGAACTCTATTGTGAAAAACATATTTACAAAACTTCTTGGCCAAGTTCATTTGCATTATTCTCTAAAGAGTTTATTAAGATCTTCAAAGTGTAATATCTACTCTTCAAATAAAGTTATTCTGTTATACCCACTTGATCATTTGATCTGTAAAGGAGAAAAAGTTTTTCTCCTTGTTGGTTTTTGAATCTCAACACAAGGAAAGAGAGTTCCAAGGTGCTGAAGAATTCAAGTCTCGTAAGAATTACAAGAATAGTGAAAATTTCAAGTTGGAGACTTGAGGACTGGACGTAGGCAAGATTGGCCGAACCAATATAAAACAAGTTTGCAATTCTTCTTTTCCTACACTTTTAATTACTTGTTATTTAATTGTGTTTGAGTAGTTTTGCATCATTAATCTTTATATACAATTTGTCTAAGAAATAGAATTTATAAGAAAGCATTTCTAAAAACTCATAAAGGAAGACAAATTGGATAACTTAATTCACCCCCCTCTTAAGTTATACGAGGCTACATGACTAACACAGATGTGTGGATTACATCTACAAGGGCTTTTGTGACAATGAATGGTCTTCACATACCTATCAAACTTGTGACTAAATACTCGAGTGTGGCATATAGTATAAGCCTTTTGCATTTTGTTCTGACATCGCATCAACTTTTTTTGGCTGCTTTAGTTTAGTTATTTTATTTTTGTAGTTTTTCCCCTTGGCCCGTTCTCTTTCTCATTATGACCTTGACAAACCAATTCAAAGGCTTTGTATTGTTTTGTGTTTAGTCTATTTTTTGTTTTTGTAATATGACTTCGGTTTCACTTTCTCCTTGTTTATTGAATGATTAGGATGGAGTATTTCTGATGAATCTATCAGGTCTGGTTTAGAGCATACGTACCTCCTTGGGAGGAGTCAATTTCTAACATCTGAAGAAGCTGAGGTATTAGGACTTAGTGGAGCAACAGTACTGCTTGATGGAGGTTGAGTGCTCTGACTTTTCTTTTTATTACCCTGGGGATTAACACATGAAATTTTCTGAGTAAGAAAAAGATTTTTTCTGGGATTAATTTCCAGACTGTACACATCTTTAACATATCACAGTGATTCTGATAGACTCCTATGTTCATTACAATTTTTCATTGTATTGTGGGAGGAACCAAGAAATTTCTGGCTTGGTGCCCCAAATACTTGAGAACAAAGTTGTGATTAGGTGTGTGGATATATGCTGTAGCCCACACCAAAGAATCTGCCAAGGCACTGATGAATACATTAAGGATGGCATTTCCCAAAGCTCGATTGGTTTTTGTTGTTGCGATGGCAAGTGACAAAGACCGTGTGGGTTTTGCTCGAGAGATTCTCTCAGGTAAAATCTGATAGGTTGATATTAAAATAGTGATAAAGAACATGCATTTATATAACAATTGATCAAGCCTTCACTTTATTGATTTCCAAACCACGGTTATATTCCTGTATTTTTCTCTCCAAGTGTACCTTTTGCTTTAGAAGAGCTAAATTGAAAATTGCTGTGTTTAAGCCTATAATACTAGTGTGAAATAAAATGACAAGTCTAAATATGCTATGGCATTTGTTCAGGTTTACATGTGGAGACTGTCCTTTTGACAGAAGCTTCTATTGCTGGAGGTGTAACTCGAACAACTCCAGCATCTTTGTTGAGAGATTCTTGGATTAAAGCTTCTGATGAGCTTGGCATTGGGATTGTTCACGATGGAATGACAGAATATAGCGAGTTATTAAAGGAACAGCAAAAGGGTGATGGTAAGACCATATTGGCCACTGAGTCATGTTTAAAGGGTTGTTTGAGAACTGCAAATAAGATTCTAACTAGAAGAGGGGATGAAAAGGGTGTTATTGTCTTTACTGGCTCTCTGCATATAGCAGCTTCAGTCTTGGCTTCTCTTGATGGATAATGGGGTTTTGTAGTGCAGCTACCGAAACGGAATTCCCTTACAATACAAACCAAAAGTAAAGGCCAAATGGGATCTTGGATGCCTTTATATCAATGTTTTAAAACTCGGCTTGGACCAATCGAGACCCAGGTACATAACTTGTTCAAGCTGAGAGTTGAATCAATCATGCAAGTAATCCAGTGATTATGTCATCAAATTGGTTAAAACCATTGAAAACTTGGATTGAACCACCAAATATTCGGACTAGGTGAACCTTTCTTTAATTTTTATTTGTTTGTTGTGCTGTGCTACTTTATTTCTTATTGAATTTTGAATCGAATGGTATTTAAGTTTTTTTTTTTCTTCACCTTAGACTAATTTGATTTGGTCAAGAGGCAAGTAAAATCCTAAAAATGACATAAGTTTCCAATCCTGGTTTCAGAGATTGAGGACCTCATGGATCACCACTACACCATTTGTTTCTTTGAAAATATTTTAGACAAATATAGTATATATATATATATATATATATATATATATACACATTATATATTATAATTAAATTATATTTTATTTTTATCAACATATTTTACTATTATGTACTTGACTTAAATAATTTATATAGTATATTTTTAATTTAAAATTATATATTAATTTATTTGGTTTAATTAGTTTATAATTTATTAACTACAAATGTTTTGGAAGCTTATTTAAAATATGGTATGAATTTTATTAAATTTGCATGTATGAAATATGCATAACATTAATACTTTATAAAAAAAAATCACACAATTTAATTAGTGATTCATTAGTTTAACATTTAATTTTGTACGTTCATTGGTTTGTGATTAGTCCAATTTTTAAAACATTATTTTTATATTAACATTCTACATCATTCATTATTGTTGGCTTATAGTTCCAATGATCAAGATTCAATAGGTATCTATAAGTCTATAATGAATATTTTAAGGGATAACCCTAGGCATCTTTAAAACCTTATTGAGCTTAGCACAACGTTTTTAACTCAATTGGGTCATTAATACTATATTTTTTTCCCCTTATGATTTTGCTAGGTCTAGTGACTTGATTGACTCGTCGTGAAGTTATTTAGCATTATAAGGCCGAGTATTGCTCATTTTAATGCTTGAGAGACTAATTGAGCAAACTACTATCTATTTGATTTGAAATAAATGCGGCTTGGTTCCATTACTTCACATCAAAGAAAAGGGAAGAAAACTTTATTCGAGAAAAGTGCTTGGAATGAAATTCAAATAAGATTATCGATCTCATGATCAACAATTAGAGGAGTAAAAACATGAGGAGTATGAAAAGTCACTTCCTCAATAGAAACAACAGCAAGTTAACCATCTGACATACTTTCTAAAGATGGATCTTTAGAATTAATCTCACAATTCCTAAGTTGGGTTAGCACACCAACAATAAATGAGTCAAAAGTAGAATGAGGACAAGTTAGATCCTCCTCAGTAGGTCTTATAGGGCAAGAAATAAAATCCTTGAAAGGAGAATCACTCTCATACTTAGGATTGAGTCTAGAAGGTGGCTCATCATCCATTGGTCTAATAGTGGGATGATTTTTTGAGGGTTCATCAAAATGGGCAATAGTAGTAGGAACCAAAGTTTTAGAAATGGTCCTGTCAAAAGAAGACAAAAAGTATTCAGGGACATTGACAACAACATCAATAGTGGGAATTTCATCAGTAGAGACATCATCAACATTATCATTTGTGGGAGAAGCAACAGAAGGGTCACTATGATCAATTGTGGGAATTTCAGTAGTAGTAGGGATAAGTGGAGTGGTATCACCAATAATAGTAGTAGAAGGGGATTTTTCATGCTCACCTTCTAAAGCAACAATAAACTCTAGAAAAATAACGGAGTTCTTTCTAGCCTTGATTTTAAATATTTTCTGAATTTCAACCAAGTGGCTATCCTCCCAAACAAGTTTGGTGGAGAGGAGACCTATGAAAGGGTTGAGCAAAGGTGATAGGCAAATCAATTTTTTTTTCTTCTTCCTCTTCTTCTTCTTCTTCTTATTATTATTATCTTTTTTTTTCCTTTTTCTTCTTTTGTTCATCATCTTCTAAATAAACACACTTTTTGGACATTCTTAGGTGAGGCTTTAACCCCATATGGCTTAGTTTTTTAGCATTCCACTCAAGAACCATAGAATCAACATTTTCACACTCTAAAGGCACTTTAAAGTGTTTAAACACTTTATTCAAAATCATGCCATAAAGGACACAAAATGTCACCTTAGAGGACTTGTTAGCCTTAATCATAAACTACAGAATAATGTTGAGGAGGAATATCCTAATTTATTTTCACATATAGTAAATGATTAAAAAGTTTTGATTAATTACTTCTCTAGAATAAGCAATAGAAAATGGAGGCACATGTTATGAACTATTCTACCAAAGGACTTCAAGTTGGAGGATCTCAAGTCAATTTCTCAAACCTCCAATACCTTTTTAATTACCTTTTTCCTTAGAAACTTGCAAGGTCTCAAACTAGCCACACCATAGTTCCAAACCATCTATAGGTAGCCCAAGAATTTCTCTCAGAGATTCAACTGCTAGCAAAATATTTATACCTCTAATATTCACAGATATCATGCTAGCTTCTTCATCAACCTCAGCACCATCATAAAAGCCTACAAAGCCTTAACTAGCTTGTATACATACTATGTTTTTTTTTCATCTTCAAAACCTAGAGGTTGTTTAACATAAACCTCTTCATCGATGAAACCATTTAGAAATTCTCTCTTGAAATCATTTGGTATAGGATTATGTCCTGATATGCTAGCAATACTCTTAAGCTTCAAGTCCCGCTAATGGTGCAAATGTTTCTTCATAATCAATTCCTTCTTGTTGATTATAACCTTGTGCAACTAGTTTTGCTTTCTTTCTTACCGCTTCTCCCTTCTTATTAAGTTATATATATATATATAAATGTAATATGATGTCAATGAGGTAAGTGATCGAGTGATGTCATCATTATTATCATGTGATTTTGCTTTTAAACAACAATTTTAAAAATAATTCGATGACCGTTCAAAAATAGTTTTTTTTTTGGGAAAAGAGTAACTTAACTCATATCATTAAAAATATCATAATTGATACAATTTGGGATGTGAAAAAAATCACAAAGATTTGTACTATCCATTGCTACTTTAGCAAGCTTATGAGCAACAATATTGGCAAATCTAGGGAAAAAAAACTCACATGAGAGTTTGGAGAGTAAATCACATTGAATATTTCATAAACATAAAGACTAAATTAAACAAAAAATTATCTAATATTTTTATTTTGATAAATTTGATTTTTTTTAACCTATTGAATAATCTCTTTTATTAAATAACTCCTTCATTTTGTGATCATATTTTTAATTTTTGGTACTAATTTCTTCTTGATGACATCATGCATAGGGACCAAGTCCAAAAGGAACCAAGAGGAGTGTGTTAGACTTGAAGGAAGAAGATCCAAATTCTTATTGAACTTTGGGTCACTTTTAAGTAGTTTACTTTCTCTTATTTGTATATATTTTTTCTTGTAAATAATTTTTTAGTTTTGACCTTGTGTTTTTGGGTCAAATAGTGTAGAAATTTATTTCTTTATAATTTTTATTTTTAAGGATGTAAATAATATTTTAACAAAGTGTAACTAAAAAATGAGATATGATTATTGGCCTTGAATTAACCCATGAGAGCACTATGGACGTGTGGTCCATGTAGGTGGACGTCCACTTGGTGCACAAGGTGCTCACATGGACAATTCAAACTTCAACAAGCCACATATGTTGCATCTAATTACACTTTTGGCACATTGCCATGTGACAACCCTTGTTGACTCTTTTAGATTTAGGATGTTGATATGAGTCACACTTATTATGCTTTGTCATGTGACAAGTTTTTATTGACTCTTTTAGATATAAGATAGTGACATTTTTTGGAGGAATATTCAAAATTCAAGTTGTATTTAGGATTTGTAATTTTGAGTACAAGTTAACCTAACAAAAGTTACATGTAACTTAGGTTAGCTTAACTTGCACCACAACCAAATCATATATATACATGTTCCCTTCATATGACCGAACACTTTTGATCATTTGTCAGAAATAATATTGAGATTTCTCTTCTAAAAATTTTAATTCACTCTCTTGGAGAAAACCTCTCCTTCTGAACTTCTATCAAGAAATTCTTCCTTATGGCAAATTCTTCACCTTCTTACTTATCTTTATTTGAAGTAGTGCGTACTTATTTTACTACTCCATCATTTTTGAATTTCATTTGAGCTTTAAAGAATCATGGATGAAGATTAGGAGGACATTAGAGCTAGTTGACTAGTTGAAAAGAAACAACCTTTATCTCTTCGTCTAATTTCATTAGTTGTCATGCATGATCTTATTAAGATAAATAAATAAAATTTATATTTATCTAGATAAAAAAAATTAGATAATTTTTTTTCAATTTAATTATAATATTTTCAAAATATTGAATTTGATTCCCCACACACACATGCCCGTACAATTTTTTTCTCTTTACATACACACACACATATATATATATATAAATATATATAGGAGGTTATAATTACACCGGTGTAATTTTTACTAAGTATTACAATGCTTAATAACTTTATATTAATTGCGAATTTTGTAAATCCAACAGTTAGATTGAAAGTTCATATCATTTTATACGTATATATCAAATTTTGTTAAAATTGAACAACAACTTGAAGGTAATCAAAATATTCATATTTTAGTGTATTTTGAAATGAATATATTACGTCAATTTTATTTTATAAAAATAAAGTATCAAATCATCTTAGATTAATATAAAATTTTGTATACATAATCTAAGAGATATGAACTTTCAATTTAACGGTTAAGTTTACAAAATTCACATTTAATATAAAATTATTGAGCAGTATAATACTTAGTAAGATTTTTAGGTGTTTATATATATAAATATATATGTATATATATATATATATATATATATATTTCCTTTACCATCTCCTCTCTTCTCTTCCTACAATTAATTGCATTCTACAACACACAATTGGAAGTTGTTGTACTTGTAACTTCGTCTTCGTGTTACCCATTCACTTATAATCCACCCTTTACGATCCAAATCCCACGTACAAATCTTACAATGACCTCACTTATGACATTTCCATCCCAAGGAAATGTTCCAAATACTACTATTACTAGATCCAACAATTTGAGCACAAGACCGAGGTTTTTTTTTTCATAAGCAAAAATTGTCTTAACTTTTGCAATTAATAATATTTTTATAACATCGATACTGAAAAACAATTAAGAATGTTGGTAACAGGAATATAGCCATAGCTAAAAAACTGAAGGAGACGAACAAATTAACGAACGAACGAGGCCACTACGAATTCGTTGAAGAGAAATCTAGAACGAGTGCCATCGTCGCCATGCCAATGACGTGAAGTCGAGTTGCATGAGCAACAACCATATGAGGAGGAAGAGGGTGTGTATATTACTTGTTCAATGTATTACGTTGTGGAATGGGGTCAGAGGATGATAGGGTAAAGAGAAAAAATAAAAAATAAAAAGGGAGAGAAATTTGCTACGGGTAATACATTCTTAAATTTTACAGAAAGTTACAATCTTATGTTGTATATTAGTTGATCACCATGAACCAGATTTCACGTTGGTGTATTTTAGAATCTGTCATTTTTAAAATGTTTAATTTGTTTATCTAATTTTTAAAAAATATTTAATATCATTTGTTCTTTTAATTAATACTGTTAGTATCAATTTAGACAGAAAGATAATATTTAATATTTTAAAAAAAATAAAGGATCAAATTGAATATTTTAAAGATGACAAAAAAATCAAATCTTAAAACTAAATAATAAGACAAAATATTATTAATTGCAAAATGTAATCCTTGTTAGTCACTTAACTTGAGTTACGAAAAGGTTTCACTAACTTGAAATTTTTTATACAATAAGTATTATCAGTGCCCACTCCTGACTTATGAATACAACCAACTATTGTAGTATTCTATAACTAGTCTCTCCAAGTTTACAAGGTAGGTAAAATTTAATATTACAAAGTGACTCTCTTAGAGAGGATGTGTAAGTTTAAGTCCACTTAGAGACTGTTAATTTGCTAAGGTAAGAATATTCTAAACTAGGATTTTCTTAAAGATTGTCCACTGGACAAATATTACAAGAGACTTAGAGGAGTTTGATTAGAGTTTTGGGCACAGTTAAAGAAAGTAGCGTGTATTCACAATATTCACAAAGTTCTTCTCTTCTCTTCAAGTCTACTCATATTTATAAACTTCATGAAGATATCTGTCGAGATGAGATCCTTTTTAGACATATTTTTTTGTAATAAATGCTCTTGAATATAGTTGTTCTAAACTTGTTCAAAGCTTCATAAATGCTTTGTCAATTTGGGAATGGGATAGAAAAACTTTGTTTGAACATGTTTATTTAGGCAACGACAATTTCTTTTGTAATTAATTTTCCTTTTCTAGATGCTACACTGGGACTACTTTATTGTATCATTCAAAAGAGGAAATAAAAACATATAGGCATTTATAACAAGCACAAGTTATTGGAATGCTTATAAACAACTGATATCAAATGTAATTAAGTTTGTTTTATGACATATAGACATTCAAATAAAGCATTGGACTTATAGTAGATAGTTTGTTATGAAATACTTTTGTTCTTTAAGTCTCATGATTCGTGTGATGACTTTGATAATTCATTAGTCTATCAATGTCATCTTTTTGTTATCACCAAAATTAAAGTATTAAACGCATATATCGTCTTTGGTTCAATAATATTTTTATTTTTTATGATGACAAACTTATGATTTAGATTCACTATAAAAATGAAACATGTTTGTCATACACTTATATCATGTTTTTGATGATGACAAACTTATAACTTAAGTATCTATGGACCTAATTAAAGTAGATGTAACAAAAATTCAATATTAGAAAAAAAAATTAAATATTTTTGTAACATTAACACAAAAAATATAATGTTACAAAAAATTAACGATAAAGACTATAAAAATAAAATAATTGAAACTGTAAGTATAAGAATTAAAAGATTTATCTTAAATGATATGACTAAAATGAATTAAAAAAAATAAGTATAGAAATTAAAATAATTATTTTAAATTATAGTGACAAAAAGATAAAATAAGTAAAATTATAAAAATAAAAAAAAAAATTAATTTTATATAAGAGTGAAGTTTAAAATATATCAAATTTAATCTCTATTAATAATTAGTTTAACAAAATTACTTGACACGTTAAAAGAAAAAAAATTCAAAAGTGAAGTTTAAAAATAAGACTAAAAGTAAAACTGAACTTTTTCTTTGTGCAAAAGTATGTTTAAATTTTTAATTTATTTTTTTTAAAATTTTTATTTTTTATAACTGTTCTCTCTACCAAAAGTAACTCACTCTCCTTTTTAATTTGAACTTGTTTATTTTCCTCTCCGGTCTCCACCTATTTTCTGCTTCCCTGTAAAAAGGGTGAAGAAAACCCCGTGAAACCCACTCGTTCTAGTGGCACCGCTTTTCAAATTTGCGACCTTCTCATTTCTAACGTAAGTTCTAGGCTTCTTTTCTTATCTGCGTTTCCTATGTATTTTTATTCCCCATTTTCCGTTTGGTAAACAAGAAAATTGAACCAATGAGCAATTTTATTTATTTTTTGTTTAAATTTCGGGTTAATACAACTAAAATTTGGTAGTTTACAAAAATAGGTGAAGAAAACAATGGCATTAGTTTGGAAAGAGTAGAATTCGGTAGAAAGGAAATTGGAGTCTAAAAATAAGGGGAGGACAAGTGGGAAAAAAGGGTTTAAGTAGAAAGGAGGAAGCTTTGGAATGACCAAAGGAATTCGGTTAAGATTATTATTATTTATTATTTTGAGAGGGTTAAGATTAAGAATAAATAAACATTGTGATTTGTTGTTAATGCATATGCTCTTTGTGGATTGTTATTTTGTTAAAGTTGGCATTTTGACTTTCTTTCCACTCTTTTAGCTCTTCTATATTCAGTAAGATTTTCCTTAGATTTGTTTATTGTCTATTTCTTTGCCCAAAAGTTTAAATTGATAAACTCCCCCATCTTTCTAACTTTTGAAAACTTGAAATGCAGAATTTATGGGACAGATATAAATGAGTGAAGTTCTGTGAGTGGAAAAAGTTTTTTGGCAAAGAACTTTTGGGGTTGATGGAGATTAATATAGAAAAAATGGGAGAAGAGAAAGAAATGTTAAACCCCAATGTTGTTGGCAATAGTGTGTCACAATGTTGTCGGTGTAATGAATGGGAAGAGAGATGCAAGAAAGCTGAAGTGAGGTATGCAGAGTTAGAGGTTGAGCTTATAAAGAAAAAGGAGCAGTGTGAAGAACTGGAGGCTAAAGTTATGGTACTGGAGGGAGAAAAGTTTGAATTTGAAGATAAGCTGAAAGTTTTGAGTGAAGGACTTAAAAGGCAAAAAGAAGTTAGTGGTGGAAAAGAGGGAGAGATAAAAGCTGTTGTTGATTTGACAGAGGACAATGAGGCTGTTCAGTTAATGATTGAAAACAGAGTTTTGAATTGTGAGAAGATGAGGGCTGAGAGTGAGGTTGAGGTCTGGAGAGACAAGTACAAGAAATTGGAATCATGGGCCTTACAGTTGGGGATGCGAAATGAAGAAAATGGAAAGGAACTAGACAATAAGCCAATAAGTAATGAAGGAAATTTGCATCTTGATACAAGCTTTGGCTTCTTACAGAATAAGGAGAAAGTTGCGACATTGGGGAATAATGAAATTGAAGATATGCAGTCAGCAGGTAATAACTTGGCTACCCAATGGAAGTATGGAACTATCACTTTTTTATTTTAATTTAAATATTTTTTGGTAAATAGCTTTTGAATGTCTTTAATCAGTTGTTTTACTTAACTGCAATCTTTAGTTATTGACGTGGGTGGCAGCTACAAATATCTCATGACCTATTTATTTTTAGACAATGAAGTGGTTATGCACTTTCATTGTTTAGAACATACAATCAAATCAATTTACCTTTTGTCAGGATTAACTGATTATGTTTGTTGAGTTTTAATCATGAGTGTTCGCTGTATCTCCATCTAGTAACTCAATATTTGTAAAATTAAAAAAGTGCATTGAGTTTGATGTCATTTGAGCCAACTGCTTTACTTTCTATATCTTTAATGTACCTTGTCAAAATTCAACTGTGATAGACTTTATTCCTAAAGTAAAAATGTTGTGGTTTCTGACACTATCATTTTTTACATTTGTATCTATGGGGCCTTCTTGAAGATACACCTTCTGATGGAATATTTCAAAGAAGTCCTATAAAAGGTGTGCTACCTAGCAGGAAACTTAAGAAAAAGTTGACGTTTAAAACTGAAGATTCTCTCAGCAAAATGATGGCTCCATCTCAACCCATTGGTGCAAACCCTGCTCCTTTCAGTGTAATTGATATCATTGATAGTGACGATGAAGCTTATATCACTCAGAACCCTGTACCAGATAGGCAGGGTAATGAAAGTATTTATGTTTCACCATGTTTTGCAGCAGAAGGAAAGGAATCTAACAACAGTTGTGCCCAAAACAACCAGGAAAGTTTGGATTTGGGTGAAGATATCTTATTTGTTGCAACTCCTAAGAGAAAACGAACTTGTAACGTTGTTACAAGTGATTCTGATAGTGATGATGGTGATGATGATATTCCAATTTGTAAGCTTAAAAGGAAGCATATTCAGGAAGTAAGTTCTGACCAAGTTATACCTGACTTCAGTAGTTCACTTCCTGCAACTATTTCAGAGGATGACAAAGTCACAGACACTGTAATGACTAGGCGTCGTCTAAGGCCTCTGAGAAAATGTGTAGGCAAAAGTCAGAATGATAAAATATCTTCTTCATGTAGACCTCATAAGGCCAAGCATCAGCAAAGTAATCCATCCAACAATGATTCTGATGAATCAGAAGAGGATTTGTCATATAGTGAGGAAGAAAATATGAGTGATTTTATTGTTACTGATTCTGATGTATCTAATCGTGAAGACACATCTAGCAGGTCACAAGATGTATCTAATTGTGATAAGGACTCTGATTCCATTAACTCACAAGATGTACAAGATAGTAATAAGGATTCTGATTCACAGGATGTATCAGATGGAGACGTGGACTTTGGTAAGATATTATCAAAAATTCAGAGAAGCAAAAACACCATGAAGTGGGAATTCGAGGCTGACATGCTTGCAGCATTTGGTAAGGATCCAGAATTGTGTATGAAGGCTGTGTGTGCTCTTTATCGACAGCAAACTTCTGAGGAACAGATGAGCAAGGGAGCATTGTTCTCCAACCGGCGTGGATTCAGCAAGTTAGATGCTCACAAGTAGGTACCCAAGATAATAATGTATGCAATGTGGTTCATGTCTCTCTTGCAATGTGGTATAAATAAGGGGTTGATGTGGTATTTTCTGGCTCTCTCTTATGGTAGTTTTCATTCAGCCGATTTAATTTAGTTTAGTCATATATGGTACAGTGTACTAAAATCCTTCTGCTTTACTCCCTCCCATGGTGACATCGATATAAGGAGTTCTGTTTGAATGAGTTACTTATTGTTGTCTCTCGTTTAGCTTTATTAGTAGTAATGTATAAATACAAATCTTTAGCATTGTGCTGCACTCTCTCCTAAGTGCATTAAGGAGGCTTTAAAAATAAATACGTTATGGCCTCTCAGTATGTGGTTAACACTTGACGGTTTTTTATTTGCTAGATCACTTTGTGTATTGTGTAGAGCTTTTGGCAATTATGCATTTTCTACTTGGAATTAGAAGAATGACTCTCTCTCATCTAATTTTGTAGTTTTCAATAGATTTTAATCGATGAGAGTGAGTGTGTTAGAGTGTGTTGATAATACTCCTCAAAAAGAAAAATGCTAGCAACACTCTAATTGGTTGAAATTTATTGGAAACTACAAAATTTGATAGGTTCCATGCCTTATTTAATGACCTTATATCTATCCTTTCTTTCATGATTTTGTAGTTTTTAATAAATTTTAATCAATGAGAATGAGTGTATTAAGATGAGTGTTGTTAGTACTTCTCAAATGGGAAATGCTAACAACATATTCTTGTAAACACACACTAATTGATTGAAATTTATTGAAAAATATAAAATTTGGTGGGTTCCACACCCTATTTAATAACTTTCTTGATTTTTAAGTTTTCAATAAATTTTAATCAATGAGAGTGAGTGTGTTAGAGAGTGTGATACAAGCACTCCCCTTAGAGGAATATCTTAGTCTGATATTTCTCTCCTTTCAGCCTTTTGTGAAAAATCTGAAAGCATGTAGCCATCAATCACATACCATTAATTTAACACTCTTATAGAAGACTTCAGTCCGTTTAGATAAACTTATTTAGAAGCATTTCTAGGAAAAATAATAGAAAGGAAAATCTAAATAAATTTCTCTATAAGCTAAAGTTAACTTACACATAAGTTAAAAAGTAATATTTTGGAGAAGCTAATAGAAAAAAACTTCTATAAATTAGTTTATACATATGATAATTTTAACTTATAGACAAAACATATTTTTATTTTTTCTTCATATTCTTCTTTATTAGAAATATTTCTAGAGATGTGTATCCAAACAGGCCTTTTTTCTATGGATTAAGCAAGTTGGGGGCATGTTATCTTGAGTGTGGCACTTGCATTTCTTGTGTTTCATTCCATATACTAATATTTGCTCTGCACTCGACTGTTCTAAGTTATAAGCGTGTCCATCATACTATTTCTTCGGTCGCATCATTTTGCATTTTTAGATACCTTGTCATCTGTTTTCTGTTAGTTTATTTTTTTCTGGCTGAAATTTCATTAAAGGGGCAGTATTTTGGCGGAGTTCCTCACTGATGGAGATCCTTATGGTGGTTTAAAGAAGTCTGTGAAGGAGTTGCAAGAATATGAACCAGAAGCAGTTGAAGTGTGCAGATCACTAGCGATTCACTATTCTAAGCAACTATTTGAGATTTACAAGAATAAAGAGGATCCACTTTTCCATGACTAGAGCAGCATTAGGCTCCTTTTCAATGTGTAAGATATTGTAAGATATGGAAATGTATTTATTTATTTGAACTACACATTTGGAGGTTTTTATTTTTTATTTTTTATTTTTTTTATTTTTATTTTTACCAGTGTGTTTTGTCATAGTTTCAGAATATGTATATATACACGTGATGGCCCTGAGTACGGTTGGGGTGGCATTTTACTTTTTAGAATAAATGATGAATTATATGAAATTATTATAAAAATCACCAATAATTAGTCTAATGGGTGATGTTTTTACTTATCAAAAATTTACTTACATATTTGGAAAAATGAACTGTTGATTTTGCAATTTATGCATAATTTTGATTAGATTATTAATTATTTTGCAAAAAAATAAAATTAAAAAAGACAATATTCAAATAATTATGAAAATATAATTTTCTTAGTTTGCTTGGAGCACCAAAAATCTAATGGTTGGCCTTGTATATACGATAAGTATATAGTCTTGTTTTAGCCGCACTTTTGATTTTTTATTTTATCAATTTTGCAAATATTCATCGCCATATTTTTTTTTATGTAAAATTAATTTTTTACTATTTTAATTATACAATTTTGGCGTATTTGTCAACTTAATCTCCATTGACGAGAATGTTGACTTGAAAGGACAATAGAGTGCCATGTAAATATTTTTTTAAAATATTAAATGTTGAATTCTGGAAAAAAAAAAATTGCAAGACTTATTTATACATCATTCTACAAATAAAACTTATTTATACAATTAAATCAATTTATTTATTCTACCCGTGGACAACTTTAAATGACAGGAATGCTTTCCATTATTTAAATTCAATTTAATTGAATGGGAAAAATATGAGAAATATCTTTAGTCTTTTTTGACATATTTCACGTAATGTGACAATTAAAAACTAATATAAATCTACAAATTATAATTTTTTAGAATCAAATATTATTTTAATATAAATAAATGGAATACCACATCACGACAACCTATGTGGGCCTTGCAAATAATTAGAATTTAGACATGCATAGAAAAGAATCTGTGTGTAGCCAAACAGCTTAAAAGAAATGAGATATTAGAGGGATACAATACAACCAACCAAACATTCCACCAACTCAGCAAAATGAGAAATCCAAAAGAATGGAAAGATAAAATTAGTAAAAAGCAGAAAAGAATTTGGTAATGGGTCCCTCCCTGAGGCTGAACGCTGAAGGTGCGGGGGCACCTCTAATTTTACATCTCAACATGGTTGGCTTTGTAAGGAATGAGTGCTTATAAAAGGAAGAGAATTGATTGTGACATTCACCACCCGCAGATACTCACTAAGCTTTCTCATTCCGATTTCTCTCTCCTTTCTTTCTCTCTTAACATTGAAATATTAAGAGAGAGAAAGAGAGAGAGAGAGAGAAAATGGCCTTTTCCAGTGATTCATGCAGGGTGGCCATCTTTCTTGGTCTCATTTTCGCAGCCCTTATGACAGTGGCTTCTTCTCAATCCATGGCTCCGGCTCCCGCTCCAACCAGTGATGGTAATTAAACGTTCTTTTCTATCATCTTCTCATCATTCAAATATCTTCCTATATGCATTATTATTGGGCTTTGCATGTCATAATTAATCTCTTAGCTTTGGAAACGTGATCTCATATTTTAATTATTCAATGATCCATTGCATGATGCATTGCTAATAATTGAATTGTTGTTTGCAATTTGCAGGCACCTCAGTTGACCAAGCTGTAGCGTATGTCCTAATGTTGGTTGCCTTGGTTCTCACTTACATCATGCATTAAGGCACCTACGAGGGATGGCACGTCCTAAATTGAGAGTTTTTTTTTAATATAAGCACTTAGGTGGGAGAAAGATATTTTAATTTCATATATATATATATATATATATATATGCATTTTGTACATCTTCTCTTGCTCCAAATATACTGTCCTCCTATTTTTTTTCAGTGCTTTATATTATTTTGCTTTCTAATTTGTTAGTTATTATTGACAAGGAATGAAGGCAAAATAAATAAACAAAAAGAAATCGAAAGAGCGAAAACAACATGTGATAAGAAAGAAGAAAAAAATGACCTTTGAATGGATCAGCACAAATATTTCAAATTTCAATCAAAGTGAATAATAATTCTATTCTTGGCATTAAAATGTGTCGTGTGTAGTGTAAAATATCGTAAATTCCTTAACGAATTCAATCGATATAAGGCGAGACGTGTAAATTAACTGGGTTTGTAAGTTCAAAACGTGAATTAACACGCATTGTATCTTTTCCCCTCATCATTCGATTTTGTCTCTTTTACAGATCACGGTGATGCCGACTCAGATGGAGCAAAATCTATTATTAGTTAATTAGGATATTCAAAAATTCACCTGAGCAATAATTTTGTTAGTTTTTATATAAGATGTATGGTAGCTTTAGGAAGTGCGTTGGATGGTAACTTTAGGAAGTGGGTTGAATTGAGATTTTAAAATACATTTTTATTATAATTTTTTAAATAATATTTAATTAAAAAATTAATATAAAAAGTTATGTGGTATTCAATTAAGATAATTGAGATTATTTTATGAGTACATCAAAATTTTATTATACTCAATTAAGATAATTATGATTTCTTTTTTTGAAAATATCTCAAAATCTAATTGTATTCGATTAAGACTTTCTTTCAATTAAAAAATGTTTTAGCATTCAAGAACATAAACATTTTAATGAATTATTTTAATTGATGTACTTTGTGAGATATTTTAGTAAAATTTAAATATATTTCACTTGTCTAACAATTTCATTAAAATTATTGAAATTTTGCATGACTTTTTTTTACTTGTTTATTTTTTTTTCTCCTTCACCTTTTTTGCTTTTCTTTCTTTTTAGTCTCTCACTCTCGTTCTCTCTCTCTGTCTCTCTCTCTCCTTCTTCTCCTCCTCCATGCCACTTATCACCTTTAAGGTATCAAAGAAAGGAATTGTTGTGTATGTTAGTCATAAAAGATTTTTTTTTTTTGAGACTTTACATACTTCAAGGGATTTGTTTGTCTTTCATTTGACAAAAAGTATGTCTTCATTCTGTTTTTAGGTGCGAGCACCAAATAAGCTTTTATTAATTGCTTTCAATTTATTAAGGAGTATCATAAACAAATATGATTAGGTTATTAGACATAATAAATGATAAATAATAAATGCATTCTTCTTATAAACAAAGTGGTTCTTCTAAAGGACTATGCATCATAATAATCAATCATCTATTTTAATTTATCTTTATAGTATGATCTAAAAAACATTTCTTTGATGAAAAACGTATGAGTTTTTTAGCATTAAAATTAATACCTTGATGGATCCAAGATTATCTTTTGATGTAACAAGCTCTCTCTTTTCTCTCTGTGTTCTTTGCTTACAAAAATTTCTTGTTAGTTCTACTCCTTAGTTCTTGACTGAGACATCCCTGTTGTATCTTGGGAGACTTGTACAGATACAACAGATAAGTCTTTAAGGTCAATGTCATCACATGTCTCAGGAAATTTTGTTAACATTTTGTTTAGTGTTTCAGGTTGTCCTACTAGTGACATATATCCACCTTTTTTTTCCAACAATCTTATGGACTTAGAATGAATGATGCTTTTACTACCACTACTCTTGCCACTGTTATGATCCCTCCTTTGATGATTGTCATCACGTATGCCAAAACCTTGCCCAACATCTTCAAAGTTGAGATCTTTATTGGCCAAAACTTTCGTCAATGACAGGAATGCATTCATTCCATACTAGACATGAACAGAGTTGATTATGCTCTTACTACTCCAAAGTTAGACTCCATTGCCTCTTTTGACGCTACTTCTAAAATGAAAGATTGGTCTCAAGCTAATTTTTTTCCCTTTATTTAATGGGTTCTAGCATCATGTGTGGCTAGTATTCTCATTATAGGGTTGTGACATAATTATTCTTTGTGAACCTCCTATGATGAATTCATGAACTATTTCTGTTAATTGTCAAATTATCTTAGAATATTATTTCTTATCTTAGTTAATTATAAGTTCATGATCAAATTCTTTTAATTAACAGAAACCTAAAATAATTGAGTTTTGAAAATTGGTATGATCAAGCTATTTTGTTAATTATTAATTGAATTAATTATTGAATTCACTTTTGCATGCATGTATATGCTTTGGTTTTAGAATAAAACTCTTATGATCAATTTAGGTTTTTCTTAAGATAAAGGTTGTTACCTTCTTGAAATCATAGGGTTATTAACAATTTTATTAGTAAAATTGACGATATTAGCTTATTAATATATGAATTTTATCTTTGGGGGGATCAGGAACTATAAGTCACAACTCTAGGGCTTTTATTTCTGAATCTCAATAATAATTTTTCTAATATTTTTTCTTAATCATTATTTTCTCCAATAAAATTTATATTTCTTCAAATTGCTAAAAATCAAAGGTAAGTTAGTAATTATTTGAACCTAGTCCTTTGGTTCGATATATGGACTTTGTCCATTGTTACTACTATGATAATGTATGCTTTCCTTTAAACACATTTTAGATGCAACAAAGTTTCTTAGAAAGCATGCGAGTGAGGATAAAGTACACTGAAAAGTCTTCTATTGGTTTGTGGTAATAGTTATTGATCCTAAAGGCAATCCAACTTTTTAGAAAGGGCTACCCACAAAGGGTTCTAACAAATGAAGGGTTCTAACCAACAAGGAGTCGTGTGAAGTGTTGTGAGTGCAACCATTGAGATGTGAAATTTGAGGGGTGTTATGTTCGTAGTCTAATGATTGAACTAATTTTTATGTGTCCATATGGGGAAGATAACCTTTAAATCAAATTTTTTTATTATTTCTTTGAATATATTGCAAAAATTTTACGTTATTATTTTGATATTAATATTTTTTTTAATCAAAATAAGTGGAAGTCAATAGATTAACTCAACAAATATTTACACCTAGAACCTCTACAATGGTTATGATGTTTGACAATCCCTTAGAATATGTTGATTAATTGTGGATTCAATTATCTTAGTCATTATTAGTATTAGTCTTAGTCACAAATGCTTATGATCAATGAAATACATGATAATCTCTCAAACTAAATACTTCGTATTTCTAAGATGAATGTTTGAAATTTTACATTTAACATGTCTAATATTTATATCATCTGCTTTGATGATATTCCTTGATAGATTGAAGGAATAATAGTTTCTTTGGTACTCACAATGCTTAAAGGAACGAGAATTCG